ATCTTAAAATAGTTTGAAATTGCATAAGCTATTGCAGAAAATCACGATCGTACATTTATGAGACTCCGAATAATAGTCAAAATGCTAATATTGTTAATTGCAATTACAGCGAGAAATATTGCGAGTCGATTATGTTTTATTAATTCGCCATATTCTATTGTATTCTAATGGTATCACGTTCGGTTGAGGTTCAACCACGTCTCCGATTCCAGGAATCTCGTCATGGATGCCGCAGGCAAAGATAATTTCAACGCGGCTCTTAACACTGTGTGTTATTCGCATAATGGTTTATCCGTGGCATATCGATACGCGAAATGATTAATGACTGATAGTGCCCGGTGATACGTATATCGCGTGATTGGCAGAAATCGCGTTATGCTTCACGCTCGCTTCATCTCTCATCACGTTTCGCAATTCGATCTCCCTTGCGTAGAGACATTTAAATTCCTCTCACGTCGCGCGATTCGCACGAGCCGGCTGTTAAACGTTTTTCAGCCACTTGCGCTTTCTGAGCACTGTCATATTTATCTTACGTACTCTGTTGTTTTACAATTGAACGCTACAGATTCCAATCATTTAATGTGTAAGCGATTCGATTTTTATTCCTGGTCTTAATTCCATCAGTAGTTTTACAAGCGCTTTTATATATCTCACGCTTTCAATTATTTTTTTATATCTTTTATTTGATGTTTCGAAAGAAAAATATAGCAACCACAGGCCAGTTATAGATTAGCTTCCATTTAATATTGCTTTCTTACATAACTTTGCGAGAATTTGCCATTTATTTGTTTTACAATTACACTACGTTGAAACTATTAGAGAGAATGTTTTGACGTAGCAACTTGCGGCATGACGTTGCCATTACGTATAACATGAATCAACTTGCTAGATTACAGCTACCTAAGTTGCGTTACGAATTGCTACAACATGACATTGACGGCACATGACGTTAGCGGACGTCGACGTTATATATTGTACGAGCACGGATTCTTAAACGGAGCTTGTTCCGTTTAACGATTACGCTCGCCGTACGTTTCTCTTTCTCTCTCGCGTCTCGGTAATTATTTCTAATTGCGCTTACGTTCGCCGATTCGAATAATTTCAAACGGCGAACACATAGTTGCGATTAAATCGCGGCTCTCGGCGTTTTCTCGGCCACGAAATCATATAATTATTGTCTTAGACGCAATACCGAGCGCGCAAATCAATGCATGTGCCCCGCTTACTCGCGATGTTTTTCTCGCGAATAACGTTGCCGCAAAAATCGAATGATATTCGTTCGGTATTGCGATATTGCGGATATACTACGACGATGATATTTGCACCGATTGCGCCGTCACGAGGCGTGCAAAATGTTGCATTAAATACCAGAGAACTCTGATCCCGAGCCAGTAATAACAATCGCCCTGCTTATTATCATCTAACCTCCGGTTCGCCCAGTGAATGAAATCGTGAGTTTAAACTCGCAAAAAAAAGCTGAACACAATTCTACAATAAATATTTATCTATTTGTTTGCAAAAATTTTGATTCCTTTTATTTAATTTTTGATGGAAATAAAAATACAGAAAAAAAATTTATCATTCAATAATTTAACAAAAACAATTATTCCCTAAAAAATTTTTCCATAATAGAAAAATATTTTGAGACTTTTTGTAAAACTAAAATATTACATTGAATAACTATTATTTTCACGACATTGCAAACTACGGACTTGAAGATTCAATTCCTTTCGTGCGTTCCCTCACGAGCTGCACGTATTTAAAATGTTGCAACACGCTGTTGCACGTAAGTCATCGCGGAATACCTACAATTACGCGAAATAGGTGCGAAACTTTGCGCGTTATTTCGTGGGAAGTTAAAATTGACCGATCGAAAATTTACTTGATCTCTCGCTTTGAAAATTGATACCCAATTACTATAATTAAGATCTAATTGCCGTTCTCAAACGCAATCTGAATTTCATAATAGGTGGATAAGATCAATCGCATCAGATAGGGATAGAAAGCGCATTTGTTAAAATATTGTTGTGATCCTGATTGATCGGTAAATACTGACAACGATGTTTCACATTGCGCGATAAATCGATCTATAAATCTAGGGAAACAGGCTCAAAAATTTTGCACAGCTTGAAATCATTAACCGTTTAGCAATTACAGATATTTGTTGCATTTATTGTATTTGATTGATACATCCCAATGGCGTAATCACTGTTTCACGCGTGATGGGTTGACGTATAAATTGAGAGAAACAGGTTTAAAAATGTCGCACAGCTTGAAACCAATAATCATTAACTATTTATAGATACTAGATCTGTAGAAACTTATAACTGTAAATGATAAATATCTCCGCTGATAATTATCTTTCATGTGCAGTCTATGATTTATTAAAAACAAATTATAACAAAAATTACCATCATACTTTAAAATATACAATTTCTAAAAATAATAATAAAAAGTATTAAACATTTTGACAATTAAATGTTACATGAATTCTCTCAAAATTAAATTGTAATGTTAAAAAAAGAAAATTTCAAAATTAACTAAGATTTATGTTTAAATTTGTAAACATTTTCTAAACACTTTTCTAGAAAAACTTTCTAAAAGAAAAGTAGCAATTAGCGATGCAAATTGATATGTATTGTAAAGATAAAGATGTAGTTATCACAAAATGTAAATTGTTAGCTACGCAATAAGATTCACAAGAAGACTTGTATCTAGATACTATATCTATCTATACCGTAAACTTAACAACACTGCCTGGAGATCGCAAAATGTATACAAGATAGCATCAAAAGCGCTTATTACATTGTTAATTACATTGCTGAAGCTCACTGCCGAACAAACGCATTAGCCTAGAAAAAAAAAGGCCTAACTTTGCATTTACACGCGATAATGTATTTATATACTTTCACGTTGGTGATAGAATGTATTCCGGTTTGAAGAGTTACAATGTTTCCGGAAATGTTTACGATTCGAGTGCAATATATGCAAATACTAATCCCAAGTAATTACGTCCGAGAGAGCACTTCTAGCGAAGAAGGAAATAGAAAAAACAGACTCGGCCTTGTAGCACTGCCAAGGGTGTAACCTGCTATGCAATAAGAATATGTAAAGATATAAATGCATACGACAAAACAGACAACTTACAAATCCATTTCTTTCTATTTTTTCTAATATAGAAGAAAATCAAGAAGAGTATATCAGAATTTTAAATTCAGACACTTAAATATTATATTATTAATGTTAAATATATCCTTAAGATAAAAATTTCTTATTAATTATTTAATGTCACTTTATTACAATATTCTATTCTTAAATAACTTATAGAGACAACAAAATTAGAACACAAACCTTTCATTGCAGATATTTTAAGCGCGGTTAAAAATTCGGGTTTTTGAAAAATTATAATTTATGTTACAATAATAGTTGTATGACAAGAAATACTGCGAGATTGATGTTGCAAAAAGGAAATATGGGAATCTGTGGACGATCCTTGCATAAGATTCGAAAGTTCTACCTACGCCATTGAATACAGCAATGCAGCAAAGTTGCATCGAACCGCCAGTCGGCGCGGTTGAGCGCTTACTAACGTTTCATTTGCGTTCTACGTGCAAGAATGATGCTCTCGCTATTTTACGCCGTCAACGATCCGTTAAAATGGTTGCGGAGCGGTGTGAAGAAGAATGATTGAATACACCAGAATATTTCAACTTTGCAACGCTAATAACAATATCAATATCAATAAGAAAAAAATGTAGAATCTTCAGGGAAATGTAGAAATTTTATATATAAATAAATATTCTTTTTATATAAGAATAATGTTTAAAAAGATTTGCAATTTTTATTTTCACGTAATCTTGTATAAATGGAACGAAAGCGCATGGCAATTATCACGAAATGAATAAAATTGTACAAACGATGGTGGTTAATTTAAATTGGTTTCTTGATCTCGGTGACCGGCCAATAGTAGTTAATTATCGCGGTAAAAATTCTGAAAAGAGCCGTCGATTCGACCGCAAGCCACATAATTACAGTTATCTCAGTGCAGCGCTGCTTGTGCGCACAATCTTCAAGCAACAATGAAACGTTCGTAATTCATCGTTGTCCATGCTCCATTATCCGTGCGAATAACGACGGGAAAGAGGATGAAGTAAATCAAATGTGAAATTTACGAGCGCATAAAATAAATCTTTGAACGGTATGAAAGTCCGAATTTGGAATCTTCAATAAATGTTAATTTAATCGTACTTAGATGGATCCATCAACGTATTATTTGTATTTAAATTCATTAAATATAGTTATATACATATAAATAATCTTGTATTAATAATTTTATATAAAATTCTCGATAAAATAATAAAATTGAATAATGTTTTGTCCTAGTAAAGAATTTAATAAAAATACTAAAATATTTATCAATGCATTTTGAGTCGTGAAAAATATACAAGTTCTGACGAATTAAGTTTGAAACGAAATGTGAGAAAAATATATGTCAATAGTAAATTGTACATTGTATCGAACATAAAAACAGATTTGCTCTGATGATTATCTGAACTATATTTCTTTGTGAGCTATTTTGTTTGCAGCGAAGTCGATGGCAGCAATTTAATTATGTAGATGATTTACATATTGCCGTTATACCAAATAACCGAGGAAATTCGTGCGGTTTTCAATTTCAAAATGAGAACACTAGTAGAATTTAGCCTACTTACGCAGTCAACATGTACCGATCCCTCAACAAATTGATATATGTTCTCGATGCATGTTATTTCCTGCGTACTACTTTAGAAGTAACACGTCACATTTTCAATACAAAGATTCAAAGTTCTACCAGATCATTATACACGAATTGTTTGAGATTAGCCTAAAACTGAAACACCATACATCCTGCCAAACAAAAAAATTTTCTTGCTTTCTTATCTAGTATCTTAATATCAATATTATTTTCTCGCTAAAATTTAATCGTTCCCAGAATAACCAAACGTCATTTTTATTTACAGGAAGTGTTGCTGGCGCACAGCAAAGTCACCGCTCAGTGCGAACCGATCACGGTGATCCTGGCCGAGACGGAGGCGCCGGAACTCGCCGCTCTCCTCGGCTTCATCTACACTGGAAGCGTTACTATTCCGCGAGTGCGGCTGAACGCGTTTCTGCATGCCGCCGAAACTCTGCGCATCCGGCTTCCGCCGGTGCCGGCGATGACAATCTGCGACGAACAGGATTGCAAGCTGGAGGATGTGAAAGAAGACGTGAAGATCAGCTCCAAGTACCTACAGTGCGATCGGTATTCTTGGGGAAGGTCGGAAAGACCGCCCTACGAAGATTCGCTCTACAGAAAGGACTCTTGCATCAGGATATTCGCGACCGATCACAACAGAGACATTCTCAGAGACACCAGAATGTTTCACGAAGTCAACAATCCTGGCCCTTCGTTCGGTTCTAGGTGTCCCAGCGCGTGGCCAGTTGGTAATTTCTCGCATCAGGATAGAGCGATAGGTGATCCTTCCACGGAAAAGGATTGCAGCTCAATAATGCTTGCTGACAAAAACCTAGCGATAAATTCTAGTAGCGAATCATCCTTCCATACGTATCAACGAGATGCCTGTTTTCCTGAAAGACCATCCACGGAAGAATACAGTGGGTTGGAATCGTTAGAAAGAATCAGGACAGGATACGGGAGATTGCAAGCAAATTGCTCGACGGAAAAGCCGATGGATGGAAGCATGGGAGAGTCGCGAGGCGAATTTTGCGGAAGAACGCGTGACGAGTGCCCCTACCTGAGCGGGATACCGTCGTCGTCCTTGCAGTGTCCCGCTAGTCGAACGAGGTCATCCGAGAGGTTCGATTACACCTCGCAGGTGACGGCGGGCGAGGATCTCAGCTGCAGCGAAAGTTGTTGTAGGTGGAAAACCTCCCGCAAACACGTGGCCAATCGTGTCACTGCATCGCCGTGGCGCCAGATCATCAGGCCTCATCATTCACCGAGGATGCCACGGTCGGCTGCCGTGCTACAACGTCATGTCGATGACGTAAGTACTCGATAAGTAAATATTAAGCCCGCATGTCCCCTTGAAAATCATCAGTCGACATCAAAGTCACTTTTAGAGTGACTTTAACTGTTAATTTAATTTTAATATCACTCGGAAATGTAAATATTATACTTATTTTGAGACGGAAGTATTTTCGCTACAAATTGATTCTAAATGCAATTTTGAATTCCAAGCATCATTGACATCAAAATATATAAGTGCTTAGAATATGAATATTCTTCCATGAGAATCATGCTTCTTTAAACATATTCCGATCCATTTAACTTCTTCAAACACATCGACAGTTTAACAACGCATTAACAATTTCTAGGATAAAAAATTGTTCCGTTATTTCTAAGACACGTTGTATCACAGCGTCCATATAGCAACGAAGGCCTCAATACAGTACACGAGTTGATTTTACAATAGTCGACAATTGCTCTAATCATGAAACATCTGATCTTCTTCAACGAATCTGATCGTCGAAGAATAGAGATTCTTGTTCAATACATATTTGATTACGACGTCGAGTACGATTTCGACCTAGCTGTTGAAATCCCGTTGCCAGAGGGATTCTCATGTGAATGTATTATACAGAAAGATACACCAGTGTGGGAACTATGCCGAGGTGAATAACATTTTTAGCGACATAATCGCACCGAAATGTTTTTACTCAGTCAATAATAAAAACTGGTATTGGATTAGATTGCGAAGCAATAAAAAAAAAAAGAAAAGAGAAGACAAACCCGATCGCCGCGAATAATTATGGAGATTCAAAAATTTATGGAAATTTAAGCGTCCATGATAATAAATATAATCGCGCCAATGTCATAATTTATATGGCAATTAATTTTTGCGTAATCTAATAAATACGAAATATATCTCGCGTAGAGTTGAGAAACATGTAATAAATAAAATAATGATAAGTTATGACCTTTCTCTGCGTATTATCTATGTAAATAATAAATTTTAGCCATTATCTTCAGCAGTATTTTCGTTGCCTTATCGATTTGTGTTCAACTTTCCACTATATAAGGTGCTTCATAATATTAAGGCCAACGTGTACCGATAAACTGAACGGAAAAGTCTTGCAATTTTCGCAATAATAATTAAGATAATAATTCGAAAAATCTTTACAAGCTAAACAGAGCCGGAGCTAGCGCTCCAATTTACATCTAAATGTGATTTTGTTTACATCTATAAACATCTATAAACATACAAACTCTAAATGAACAAACGTTTCGGCCATCGGGGTTTGGCCATCCTCAATTGAAAAGGATTGACGAATGATAGCACGCTGCAATCCATCCAGATCGCACAGCCCACAGTCTAGCCACGCGCTATCATTCGTCAATTTTCTCGAAACGAGGCGAGAAGAGGATAAACCGTTACACCCTTAATTAATGCGGTAGAAGCAAAGCACTTTAAAGTGACGCGGACACACGGACGCGTTCAGCACGTCATCCACGGCGGTGCGCAAGATTAATGAGAGAAAATAGTTTCAATATCTCAGTCTTATCTCCATAAATCGTTCACGGTAATGGTAAAGTTAATTATATAGAAAACGTGGTCTTTGCATCATGAATGCAACGGCATCAATCGTCCTTGCCGTACCAACCAATCAATTAACGCGGAAGTGCGAGGAAACGGTTGTTTGTCCCTTGCCCTATTTCATATTTCTTCTATTTTCAACTTGTAAAATATGAAGATTTAAATCACGTTTAGAAACGCTGCCTCGACCGAAACAATAAAGTAATTTTCTCTTCATTAAGTTTTCACTATTTCACATAACTTTTTAATTCAATTTTTCAATTTGTAATTAGTTTTTAATATTAATAATTCTAGAAGTCCTAAAAATCAAATATCATACTCTGTGGTTAATTTAGGTCAGTTTCAAAATTACCGCAATTTAATGTCTCGCGTGGTATTATCTGTGTCTTCCAGTAAATATCCATGACTGGACGAAACGAGATGAGACGAGATTATATGGGACTCAACGTGACTAGAAGAGATGTCATTTAAATTCTACTCGGTATATATAGAATGTGACATCACATTTCTGAGGAGTTTTATTTGTAATAAAAACGACGTGATTTATTTGTAAATTATAAAATAATAATATAAATCAACTTCAAACATTTATTGAAAATTATATCTTGTTTTGAATATCATTGAAAATTTATGTGTCGAATAAAATGACATTAACATAGACATTATTACGAACAAACCAAAAGGCGCGATACGTAGAAAGCGTGAAAACAACATGATTTAATCCTTTCAGTCATTGACAAATTATTTTTTTTTTTTCAAATTTTGCTTGTTTTAATCACGGAAAGTGGAATCAAATTAAATGTTTAGAAATTAATTAAACTAGTTTATATTAATTTTTCTTATTAATTCTTATTAGTATTAGAGATGTATTTGAGAGATGTCAGGAGAAAGTCGTAAAAAAGAACTTGAGTACAGGAGAAATTATGGGAAATGTGTTCTGCATGTGATACACATTGCGTGAAAGAATTTAAAACCCGTAAACACGTTAGAATCTAAACAACTGCAAAAACATGGAAGATTTGTATGCGCTATATATTGATTGTACGCTTCATCCGTGTCTTAACATGCCTTAACAAGTGACGGGGTGCCGCTCCCAGCTGCGTCGTCGCCCTTCACTTGAGTTTGATGTCGTTCCGCTTAATGCAGCTATCAGTTAGCCAGTTTATCAAACCGCCGTGATTGCGCATCGCCAGCTGGCGATGCCAGCTGCACGAGTTCGGCGCGTTATTACGCGCGCGATCTGCAAACTCGCGCGTTTTCTCTTTCGACGGCGACGGGATGCGTGCCAGATTTCGCGGATTGTCATCGTGTCGCAGCGACTGCCTGCCGCTTGCACAAGCAGGCAGACCCCGCAGCTTGCACCGAAATCGGCCGTGATTTCAACCGGATAAGGATGAAACGCGATGTGATTGCACTCGTCTTTCACCGAGATTTCTTTTCGCGCGATGGGGACATATGCATATTTATCATAAAAGAGAAGCAGAAAAAATCAGAATAAATTCCTCATAAAGTTCTTTGAATCTTCAAACGTATTTGATTTTTTTATTGAGAGACAATATATTAATCTTTGTACTAAACTCTAGATTCTTTGATTTCGAATAATTTGATTTATTTGAATGGGAAAATTCCCGGGAAAGAGATATAAAATATTATATAGCACATACGCAAGTGTGATAGAAAGTATTGACAACGTCTGGAAAGCGATTAAACAAACAGATAACAAAGTAGTGATCGGTAGCAAAGGTCGAGTGGAAATATTGGAAGTATGAAAGCTACGATTCAACGAAGCGAATTCCATGCACGTCCTTTGATCCTATTCGTCGCTACATAATGCAGAGAATGTAGAAAAATATTATGATAATCTATACTGCACTTCTCATGTAAATTCTATTTCATAAATTTAATTGCGACTTTTTATTTATTTATACGCGACTTCTGTTTAGTATGAATGTAATTAAGACGCGAATAATAAGCGTCTTGATAATCAGCCTTGCTACCACGTCAATCATTGCTATCGCATTCAAATGGTAGGCAATGCCAGTTAAATTGTCACAATTTAACTGCTTTCTAATTGCTGCTTTCTTCCAACTCATTATGCGAAACATTCCTATGTGCAACTAACGCTGCAGGCAGACGCTATAAGCATTTCATTTAGCGTTTGAGATGGGAACTGTACGATTATTAGCCGCATGTAGCATCTAGAAACTGTTCTTTAATGAATAAATTCGCAATGAACATTTTTCCGTGGAATAAATATTAAGAATCTAAAGTTATTTACTTCAAAGGTAAACTATTTAGTAAAAATTAATAATAAGTTAGCGTCATTAGCTTTTGTTTTCGAGTATTAGATTTCTTTTTTAAAGCCAAATACTAAATAATTATGTGAATTTGAAAAACAAATCACGAATGTGTAGAGAAGACAGAATTAGACGATAATTCTGCACAACATCTGCGATACCTTGACATTTCGGTGCATCATTTGAAATTAACAAGCGTACGAACGTGACTGTTTAAAATCGACCGTGACTGAAAATCGTAAAAAAAACAAAGCTGTTTAAATCTAGACATCACTTTCTAGCTCATTGAAACGCGTCGCACCATAACAATTTCAATTCCACGCGAATACATCACGGTCGCTTTTTTTCCTCCTTCCATGAAATTAATGAACGGATGGATAAATTTAAACTTGGCCAACTCCATTTTACGTATATATGGTCGGTCGTTTACAAAGATATGCTGATTTAGTATTGCGCATAAATGCAATTTTCTAGAAAGTTAATATATAATATTTTTTGTTTTTTTATAAATAATACATGACTTTAAATATCTTTTTTTAAACTAATCAAAAAACTGTAAGATTTAAAAACAACATTGGTAAAACAAATTTTTTTTAAATTTCGAAATTCTTCGTCATTTAAAATAAATTGTTTTTAAAATAAAAATTAAATTCGTAAAAAAATTGTTTTGACAACTGTTGCAGGAAATCCAAAAGAAGCCCCTGACTCCGGAACCAACGCGATCCACAGTAATAGCGATCAGCCCGAAGGTCCATTCTCCGAGAAGCGACGGGCATTACGGTTTTGAAGTTTCTACCTGCGAAATGAGCCTTAATAGCGACTCGAGATCACGGACCGAGATAATAAGTAGTCCTGAAACGAAGATCCAAGAGACCTATCGATCTCCAGTTCCATTCGCATCCTCTAATCAAATCGCGCCACTTACAAACACACTGAGAAATGACGAACCGTCCCTCCAGACTAATAACACACTCACGCAGTTGCTGTCCGTCAGCAACGACAGCGTTATCACGAATACGAGTAGAAATAACGAATATTCGACACACATAGTGCCACACACGCCGACAAAACCCGAATTGTCGCATCCGATCAGTAGACTGTGCGATACGATCGAATCCGATGAGAAGAAGGAAACGAAGATAGAGATAGAAAGCGCGGAGAAGAATGACGAGGAGAGAATTGCGAGGATATTTGTTAATAGCGACGATAACAACAACGACGAGGCAATCGTCAGCACGGAAATAGTGCGTGGACGATCGGCCGACGATCACAGGTGCGATCAATGTGGGAAGACCTTCGTCACGAGAGCATCGCTCAAGGTATTGTATCTTATTAAAACAATTAATTAAATATTAATTATGCAGACTGTAGCTTTAAACAGCCAAATCACTTGAGATCCGTGTATCAAACACTTAGAAACAGCATTAAGTACATTAAAAAAATATGTCTATAAGACAGTCATAATAAAAAAAAATATATTTAAATTTGAAGAAATGATTGCTGTCGATTTTTCGATCACTTATTATTGGGTTGTGCAATAAGAAATTTCGGATTTTTTAAATAAATCTAATACTTTTTTTTTGTAAGGCGTAGATTACGTAAATATTCGTTGGTCAAAGTTGTATTTAAGTTCCGCCTACATCACGCGTCAAAAAACAATAACATCATCATAGAAAAATATGAAATTATCTATTATACAACAATATAATACAATCAAGACTCGATCATCATTTTTCTTGTGGACTGTCTCTCTTCCGACAATTAAAATCATGTCCAATATCTTGACTTGTCCCCTTCGTTTGCGACTCTCTAGCTCTAAATAGCTATCTAAACATCGTCATGTTCGTGTGTTCATCACAGACACATAGCCGAACGCACTCCGGCGAGAAGCCGTTTCGCTGCGCCGATTGCGGGAAGCAATTCTCGCAGCTGCGCAATTACAAGTACCATCGCAGCGTGCATGAGGGCACCCGGGAGTTTGCCGCCACTTGTCCGGAATGCGGCAAATACTTCAACGACCGTGGTTACCTGAGCTCGCACATGAAGATCCACCGGAACCGCAAGGAATACGGCTGCGCGGAATGCGGCAAGAGCTTCAACCAGCGAGTGGCCTACAATATGCACGTGCGTATACACACGGGCGTAAAGCCGCACCAGTGCGAGCAATGCGGCAAGGCGTTCTCGCGGAAGATGCTGCTGAAACAGCACCTGAGAACCCATTCCGGCGAGCGGCCGTACCAGTGCCAGGTCTGCCAGAAAGCGTTCGCTGATCGCTCCAACATGACCCTCCACACCAGACTGCACTCCGGCTTGAAACCCTACCAGTGTAACCTGTGCTCGAAAGCCTTCACCAAGAAGCACCATCTGAAGACCCACCTCAATTATCACACCGGCACTAAGCCGTACACTTGCACGAACTGCGGCAGCAGATTCTCGCAGAGTAGTAATATGAGGACCCATTTTAAGAAGTGCATCGTCAACAATGCCGCTGGAGTGACCAAGTCCGGCGACGAAGCCGGTGTCGAAAGCAGCATCACATCGCAGGTGGCTCTAACTCCGCCCAACTCCGATCAGGAGTCGAGCATCCTAACGCCAATCTCGAAGAGCGTTGCCGTGACGGAGAGCAACGCATAGCGGTTTCTTCCGCTCGAAAGACAGACTCGTATTTCGAAAGTGGGTGAAGTTGACGAAGAATAAAGTGAAAACACTTGTGACCGCATCGTTATAATGGTAGGTGTTTGACAGAAGATAGTATATTTAGCAGAAGTGTTTGTCTTAATAAATTGACCGAAAATAGACTGCGGACTTTCACACTTTTTGTAAGCTTGGTACACACGTTTGTAGAATAATTTCTACGCTGAATCGATTTATTTGCATTTCAGTCAATATTACATCGAAAAGTGGTAGCAAAATTTGCATTGACTTAGTATTAAAAATATGCAGTTTGTTTTCAGACAATTTAATATTTAGCTAGTTGAAATAAGATTGGAATATCAGTGTTGTACAGTAGTCATTGCATTGTGCCTTCCAGTTCCTGTATTTATTGAACTAATCTCAGTGTACATACAGAACTCCCTGTTTTAATCTAATCTAATATTTAAATAACTTAGAGTGAGAGATTTGATATCAAAAAGGTAATGTTAAATCAAAATAAATACATCAAAAAATTGAATGTCCCACGGAAGGCTTATTTCTGTTCAATTAAATCCGTTTACCTTTTACCGCGTAAAAAGATTACTCATTCTAAAATACTATATTTATTTTCGCAATCTTATAATTTGACAAATGTCTAATTAAAGTAAAATATTTGTACAAATTAAATTAATTGATATTAATAAAAAACAAATTAATTAGTAATTCTATAAATATTAAGAATGGCAACATTTCATTCTCGACAATTCATTAACAATCCAGTTGACAACTGCTGTAAATATTATAAAAATTAATTGAAAATCGAAATCTCTCAATTTGTCTTTGGATTCATTTAATAATCTTGCTCTTGTACCAAAAATAATCCCATGAATTCAAGAAATACACGTCGCTTCCTTGCTGCCTACCGAACAATTAATAGCCCCTTCGCCGAAACTGCAACGTGTGATTGCAACACGATACGTCCAATTGCCGGTTGCAACACAGCAATTGCAAATGCAATCGAAAAGCAGTCTGCAGCTGCTTGTAGGAAGTATCTCCTCGTGTTTGAAAGTAACCGTCGGAGAATAACCGAGCTTCCATATCAGTGCAAATAGTGCGGTAACAACTCTTTCTAAGAAATGTCTTTATAGCGCTTAAGGATCTGTTCTTAGAGCAACTTTGTTAGTGTTTTTTGGGAGAAAGAAAAATATACGAGCCAGAAATTAAATAATGACAGACAAAATCCGTCCGTTCTAAAATAGAATTTGGACTAAACACACACTTTCCAATCACTCCAATCGAAGAATTTGAAAGGTATGTGAAGAATATAATTTAAATACGTTCCGAGATGTAATAATAAGTCGTGGACTAGAATGCCGTTAAGAAAATAAATAAAATAAAATTATTTGCAGAAAGTAATACACTTTTATATTTTAAGATATCTTTTATGTGTAAAATGGCTTAAATTTATATCGCAATAAGAGTTGAATTAAGAATATGTGATAGAAACAGCGAGGTGTTTGAAACACCAACATGTATATTCAATACAGTAATATATTTAATTGACGACCTCATTGCATGTTCATAGAATATTTTAATATATGCAAATATTGATTGTATGCGAAACACATTAAGTTGACAAATAAACGTTTCTTTGTACAGCTGTGTTCGATTGAACAGATTAAATTCTGTTTGATAAATAAAATGAAAAATAAAATATTTTGATATTTCCTAATTCATATGAAACCAGTATTTTCTTTATCTTCATTGAAAAATGAGATTTTCCTCACTGAAAACGCGTACTGTTAATTAAAATATAAATATAATGGCGTCCAAAATCGAATAATTCATCATTATAATTTTTAACAATGTCATTTTCTAACATAATCCGCGATCAAATGTCTCTTAAACGATACGCTTTGTGTTTAGAAGTAACGTTCAAGCACAATTGCGGCACGTACGAAGTATAACGGTGCATCGTGGGTAAGATGTACGCGGACAATAAATCGTCGCCGTGATAGTGTCTCCTTCTCAGAGCCAGTGGAATTATCGTAAATCCTGGCGCGCGACACAAATCGCCCGTTAATATTTAACTGCGAATGAGCGACTCTCTCGGCGATGCGTCATATTTTTGAAGAAAGTTGTAGAACGCGCAGCGGTGAGTTTTATCATTAACGCGTGTAATGCTCATCAAGCCGCGTATGGTCATGCAGGAGGCGTTGCACTTCCGTGAAATATTATCTGCTTTTCATGCTGCAGACTATCAACTGATAATTATATGTTTAAATATGCTCCTAGCCATTTGAGAATCTGCATAATATGAAAACAGTAATTTTATGCGTATCAACGTGTTTCTAATGTGCACGTTTCTATATATTTCTGAATTAGCCTTTTCAAAATTGTGAACAAATTACACTCGTAAATTAAAAATTGTACCCATAATCGTTTTTTCTTTTTGCTTCTGAAATTTAATTGAACTTCTTTCTCGCACGTTTCGTTACATTGTGAAATGCAGAAACGAACCGGTATCTGACTATAGGATATTGAGGTGGACCTTAGGTATGTGCACAATAATCGCCAGCACGTGATGGTTTGTGGCACTCGGAGCATATCAGATTACGGAAACGGTCCCGAAGTGGTATGGATGCTGCGAGCGGATAATCGCGAGATACAAAATAACAGATCCGGAGAATCGTGTGCAGCACGTACAAGGTTAACCATGTGTTTGTGATGGATTGTGGATATCGAGACGTGACCGAATCGGAAGAAAGAATCGTACAAATATCGCGAGGTAAATGTTCTAAATTCACTCAGAGCATTTCTTTCTGTAAAAAAAAAAAAAAAAAAAAAAAATACAGTGCAACATAAATTTTGAATCTTATAATAATTCTAATATTTCAATTACGTAATTGCCAAAATATTTCATGTCAAAAATTAAAAAAAATAAAAATATAAAGAAAATTTTTAATGTCGAAAAACTTGAAGAAACTTTAAAGTCAGAGTTGTGAGTCTACATCTACCTATCACGCTTACACAATAATGACAGCATGAATTAAATATTATCTTGCACGTGGAATAAGCGGAATCTGATTTATACTTCCCTTTGAAGATTGTAAAAATTTCTTAATTAACTTCTTATTGAAACGTGAGCGTTTATTACGTCTGATTAAAACTTGTATATAGCTTGAAGCAAATGACAACGAATATCTCTTACAACTATCATGTAAAAATCGTTCAATAGCTGCAGCAATTACAAATGCGTTCCCTGTCTATTCGACGTCTAGCTCGTGCGTCTTTATTCCATTCCCATTTCTCCTCCTGTCACTATAGGCTATTATCGCAGCCGCGATTTTCTCCGCTTCTTATACACTTAATCTGATCGAGAGAAATGGCTCTAAGGACACGGTCGTAAAGAAGATCTTGAACCTGCTCGCTTAGCAAATACACGCCGTACACGATAAAGCTATCGAGGCATTGTGGCTAGTCCCGAGTGGACACTTAGCGCCAAGTCATCCTCAGCGCATCGTTAATTAGGCTCATGGCTCATTAGATTTTTTATCGTGCATAAGCCTCAACTTGACGGATTCTTGACCTCGGGTTGAAAGTTGCCTTAACGGTTACATAAATTCGCTTGACAAATGCGATTATCGACGATCTTCGATGTATGACGTACATAACTTTATAATTTCACATAGTTGCTCATGGTTTTCTGCATTCGGCTTTAGGCATATTTCAATATCTTGAAATTAAAAGTAAATAACAATAAAATAAATAAAACTAAATAGCTTTAATATTTTTTATATATTCAAGATGTTCGCTTTTTGATCTATATATACTTATATTTATATATAAGTACATAAAATATAATTTCAAAATACTGTTAAAAAAAAGACATGAGTATAAAATTATTGCATGTTTGAGTATACATTTTTTATCTAATATTTGCGAATAATTTGCATTTTAACGAGTGTAATTTATTACATTTAAAGACTACTCTGTCAAATGTTGTGTGTGCCACTGAGAATTGTGTCACACCAAATACGTTGAAATTCTCTAAAAATATGTGTCAACAACAGCGTTAAACAAATATTTATACGACAATATCTAAGACAAAATAATTCCTTTCGCAAAACTTCACGCAAGAAATCTGGCGATTTGTGCATAAGTAAAAATTTACGCGAGCTTTCTCTCACCCGTTTGGATTTTAAAAAAACATGGAATTAGAAGATTACTGATTGCTGCTTCCCGGAAATAATTGGCCACATTCCAATTATATGTGCAAACTCACGCGAAAGTACGAATAATATCCAACAAACACTTTTATAAGATGATAAGAGTGATAAAAGAATATATACATAAAGTTTTGATTAAAAGGTCATATAAAGTCATATAATAAAATAAGAATGTAATGTATAAAATAATTGAAAATAATTTAAAGTCTTTTTTGCAACCCTTTAGTGCGCATAATTTGCAGTAAGAATACTTTAACCGAGTTCAAGGAAAGGTTATCTCTAAGGATATATTGATCGATAAATATTAATTATAAGGTTTTATTTGCGGATTTCAGGTTGAAAACCTTTTAATAAATTTGTATACGTAAAAAAAATATAAAACAAGCAATAAAACATAACAAAAAATATAATCGAAAGAAGTACTCTAATCTCTTTTTAGACGTTTTCATATTGTTTTTTTAGTATTGAGACAACTTTTCATAAAAATCACACACACACTTTATCATTGCTTTATTTGGTTACGTTCCGTTTATCCGGTTTTCCATAAAATTCCTTCGTGAGATGCATAATTTATCTGTTTGTCTCGGTTCATTTGCTTGTCAGCGATAAATTATTCTCAACCTTGTGTATTCGTGACCTCTACGCGAGTTCGTGAATCGGTACTGGCGATTCACGACTACCTGTTTGCACCAACCGAAACATCAGATAACGCCCGTTAGAACTGGTTACACCGACCAGGTGCATTACGATCCTACGGCGCGATACGGAAGATAAGCACCGGATAGAGGACCATTTCGCCTTCGGATGCGGCGACTGACCTCCTGAACTCGATGGCCGAGAAGGAGAAAATCCACTTGACGGACTGCAACTTCCACATCTTTTTTTAAATCGCTCGTTCCGTTAATTAGCGATACTCACGGATGATACGGAATTTTGTATATAAACCTACAATTTTCTAAATATGCTTTCTAAATAACTATAATTTTCCGGAATATGGAACACGTAACAGGCAGTTTTAGCACCGTGACCAATTTATCGTAATATATGTATATATATATTTTGTGTATTATTAATCTATTATAGTGTCGTAAATATTCTTCGATCAAATATCACAAATTACTTCATTTGCTTCTTCTTTCTCTTCCACTGATTAAATATATTATTTAATATACGTTGTTTGACTGAGTAACATCGATGCGCTTGAAAGCAAGCTTTCTTTCAGTAAAACTTTGCATGTACGTCGATTTGTTGTCAAACAGTAGATTATTATGGCATCGCAACAATCAATTAATGTTGCGACAAAATATACAAATCTTTAATTTCGAATTTTAATTAAATGACAATAATTTTATTCATTTATTTAAAGAAATAAAATTCAAGAACCAAAGAGAATTGTTGCAAGAACACGCAACTATGTTCGTATGAAAGGCTAGTCACTACGGCGCT